GGGAGATGTGAAGCAGGAGGAGGTGTGTGTCATCGACGCCCTGCTGGCTGACATCCGGAAGGGCTTCCAGCTGCGGAAGACAGCCCGCGGCCGAGGGGACGCCGAGGGGCCCAGCAAGGCGGCTGCCGCAGGCCCCCCCAGGAGCAAGGCACCTGGTGAGGCCCTCACCCGCCTCCCCATCACGTTCCCTTACCGCCATCCCTGCCCTGTGCTGGCCCTGCAGCCCGCACCTCCCTTCCTCCAGGAAGCCCTCCCTGACCTCATGGGAGATCTGGTTCATCTCCCCTGCTGCCCTGAGGTTTAGGGCAGCTCACCCACACGATGCTTCCCTTGTCTGTGCTACAATCGAGGTCTCCCCAGCGGTTGTGACAGCCTTCTATCCAGCCCCCCGGCAGGCAGGAGAGCTAGGCCAGTTGGCTGGTTGACACGCGGCCCTGGGGCTCAGAGGGGCTCTGAGGAGGTGGAAGAGGCCAGCATGAGGCTCTGGGGTGGGGGGCATCCACTCCCGGGGAGGCTGCTCCTGGGAACTCTAGGGGCTGGGGTCATGTGTCATCACCTTGGGGCCCAGTGTCCCCTGCTGCCCCACTCTGAGCAGACCGTGGACACAAGGCTCTCCACTGACATGCGTTCCATCCACAGCAGCCACCAGTGATCCCGTGAGAGGCCCCGGTCTCCCCACCTCTGAGCCTGGTCTTGACACGGTAGCAGCCAGGGAGCCCCAGGGCTGGGACCTCGCAGATGCAGCCCCCAGCAGCCCCCAGCCCACCGGAGACCCGTCAGAGAAGGGTGGTCCTGGGCCCCTGGAGAGGCGTTCTTCCTGGTACATGGATGCCAGCGACTTCCTGGCCACGGAGGACTCCCAAGGCCGCCCACCCACTGCAGGGGCCTGGCCAGTGGTGCTGGAAGACGCCCAGGCCCTGAAGCCCCTCAGCTTCTCCAGCAACAGGCCTCCCGGAGCTATGGGTTCCAGCCAAGACAGCGAGGAGCCCGCAGCCCCTCAGGGTGCCCGCCAGGCAGAGGCTGACAGCACAGGCCAGGGCCTGGAGGACACAGCCCCCAGCAGTCACAGTGTTGGCCTCGCTGCCGCAGGCGCCGGCGGGGACAGGGACGAGGACGAGGATGAGAACACAGCCCCCGACTCTGCGCTGGACACGTCCCTGGACAGGTCCTTCTCTGAGGACGCAGTGACTGACTCGTCAGGGTCTGGCACCCTCCCCCGGGCCCAGGGCCGGACCTCGAAGGGGACAGGCAGGCGAAGGAAGAAGCGGCCCTGCAGGAGCCAGGAAGGTAACCGGGGCTTCCTGTCCCCCTTGTCCTCCCACGCGGGGCTCCTGGCCAGCGAGTCAGCAGGGCGGGGGCAGCAGCGCCCGAGGAAGGCCTCCATCCGCAGCTTGGGCTTCTCTCCACTGTGGCTGCCCCGCCCCCGCTCCTCCTCGCCGCCCCCGAGAGTGGGTGGTTCCCAGGGCATCTCTGTCCTGCAGGAGGGAGGCAGTGGCGCTTGGCCCACAGGAGGGCAGCTTGGGGGGGGCACCGCCGAGGTGGCTGCACCTCTAACCCACTAACTGCCCCCTCCCCCGCGGCCCCCAGCAGGAGGCCAAGACAGCCCCTGGGGCGGGGCTGCGTTTTGGCTCCGCGTCCCTGTGGCCCCAGCTCCAGCTCCGAGTTCAGGGTTCGTGAGTGACAAGCTGTTGAGTGCGTCTCTTTTATTTGAAAGCAGAGGTTGCCCCTGACTCTGACGATAGTAAAACAAAAAAGGCTGTGTGTGATCCAGTAAGGTAGGTCCGCAGCCCGGCGCTCCACACTAACCGTGTCGTCGAGGCCGGGCCCCGTGCCCGGCCCCTCCTGGGCGCTAACCTGGCTTCCCTCCCGCTCCTGAGCCGCTGGTGGTGGGACGCTCCTGGCCCTCGTCTTCCTTCCTCTCCCGGGAAGCGCGGGGGCCACGCCTCGCTTAGCAGCTGTCTTTTCTGCTGTGGCAACGGGCAGCCTCAGAGCTTCCGCCAGGCAGACGGCCTCAAGCGGCTGGGGTGGACAGGGCTGACCCGGGCCTCCTCGGGGAGCAGGGTTCCAGGGCCTCTGAGGGCGGGGGCCGCGTGCCCAAGCTGTCTGGCTCACCCCAGCCCCCAAGGCGCCCCCTTCCCTTGCATCTGTCCACAGGGCACCCCAGCCCTCCTCTGGCGCTGGTGCCAGCCACACGTGTCCCCAGGGAGGCAGTGAGGGACAAGGAAGATCCCAAGGGCCGCTGCCAGGGACAAGTCAGCTGCCAGCCCCTGCAGGGGGTGCGCAGGCCTCCTTTCCCTGGAGGCCAGGTCCTGGAGACAGCGAGTGGGTCTGCAGGCACTTCCGCTGGATGAGCAGCGCTTCTGGTCCCTTGAGAGCAGGCAGGATGGTCAGGGTCTATGATGAGGCTCAGATGCAATCAGACCGACAGCCTAGATCCTTGCCGCATCCCAGCCTGTGCTGGTGAAGGCAGACTAGTGCAGGGACCTGGAACCCCTGCCCGGTCACCAGACCCATGAGTGGGGGCCCTCTGCCTCCCTCGCACCTCCAGCCCATGGGCCCGGGGCCTAAGGCAGAGGGCACCAAGGTGAGGTCTGGCTGGTGCCGGAAGAGGCCAGGGCAGGAGAGGGTCCGGGGCATGTTTTGCCGTGGTGTACCCTCACACTGGGTGCAGCCTTCACCCCCGGGTCTGGGCTGTTTCCTGAGCGTGGCTCTGATGTGAAACACCAACATTCGCCTTTAGAACCTCACCAGCACACCCCTCAGGGGCCAGGATTTGTCCTTGCAGCCCCAGCTGCTCGCCCTGCGTGTGGGGAGCATTTGGGGCATGTGGTCCATGGGTTTGGGGACAGCAACCACGTGTGGCCACTGGTGAAAGGTCAGAGTGCCCAGTGCCAGGTCTGTGCCCCGCCACTCACCCCCAGCCGGGCCCATCCCCCCAGTGGTAAGGGCAGGAGGAGGGATCCCACCCTTCCTGTCTCCCCAACTTCTTACTTGAAAAAACTAATTCAACAGGAAATTTGCAAGGTCATAATGAGCAGCGCCTGCTGTTCACCCCAGAATGGCAAAAACTTGCAAAAACTAGGAAAATTGCTAACACCTGCTGTATTGCCATCTCCCACCTTCGTGGCCTGATTTGAGTTACAGCCGTCCGGGCGCTTCTTCCCTGGGTTTGTCCCTGGGGTCTCCCAAGGTCAGGGCTGTTCTGCCCCACGCGGGACACCATGCTGTCTTCACCCGCAGCCCCGGCCGGGCAGGGGTGGCCACGTGTCCCATAGCGGTTGCTTCAGTGTTCTGGAAACGAGGTCGTGCCCAGGGCCGCACATGCAGCCCCTTTTGTCTTGCGTGACACTGACATCGTGGAAGGCACACCATCCAGGCTGTCTTGGGGCAGGAATCCTACACCCACGACTGGAGTCCTCCACAGAGCGTTGTGAGAGGGACGTGGGGGCCTGCTTGTCCTGTGGTCAGCGACACTGACACTGACTGGGTGGTTCCAGTGGTGGTTTCGCCGGACCCCCGCCCCCCACTGCACAGGAACCGTTTTTCCCTCTGTGCTGACTGCTCCCAGTTTGCACAGCGGCTGCAAAATGGTGATTTCCTTCCACAAACTTCCCTCCTGCCCTCTTTTTCAATCACAGACGTCTCCAGTGCAGGTGATCTGCCCCCGTCCTCCGCTGTGACGTCCTGTGGCCATGGGACAAGTGGCATCAAGCTGCCCCCTCCATCCCCTCGGGTCCTTCCTTGAGCTCAACCCCGTTCCCCTTCCGTCCCACCCCGGCGCCCTTGGCCCTGCCTGAGCACTCCTCCCGGCTCCACAGTGGGACTGGGGCGGAAGCCCCGCTGTGACTGACTGCCTGTCCACATCTGCCTGACTCCTGACTCGTTTTCGTGACCTGTCTCTTTCGAGCGGTCGTCCTCTCAAACCGGACATCCCCGGCTCTGGGGTGGCTGTGGGGACAGGGCATCTGGGGGGACAGCCAGCAAGGGCCCCGGGACCAGGAAGCGCAGAGGGTGCAGGGGGCAGGCGGGCGGCAGGAGCCTTGGGTGGGGGCTCGGCGCCCTGAGGACAGAGCTGGAGAAGGGCAAGGCAGGAGGATCCACCTGAGGGGAGGTGACCGAGGGCACTGGTGGGGGGGGGGGCGACAGCGGAGTGAGCCGCGGGAGAGGGAGTGACGGGCCCCACACGCCCATCGGAGGTGATGAAACAGCCCTTGTCTGGACTGCTGGACCAGAGCCAGCTTGCTGGGGGTCTTCCAGCACCTTCCTCCTGGGTGAGCCTTGCTGCTCCAAAGAAGGGGCCTGAGGTCAGAGTGGACCTCGGACACTGGTGATGAGGGGACAGCAGGAGCCTGGCCAGGCCACTCCTAACCACACCCTTTCCTCTCCCTCCCTGCAGGCCTCAGGCCCAGGCCCAAAGCCAAGTGAGTGGACCCACACAGCAGGGGCCAC